CCAGTCCCCTGCTTCAAATACCATCAATGAACTAGAAATGTCCATAGCAGCAGTGTGATCTGACTTCAACCCTGAAACTCTAGTATCCATCTGCCCACTCAACACATCAGTGATAATACTGATGACTCAACTGACAGTGACCAGGTGCCACACTGAACCAACCAGTTTCTCAAATAATTCACTGCTATCTCAATGTCTCCTAATGTTACCTATTGGTGCAAATATCCTATCTAAACCTGAATGTCATTGTGGACACCCTGCCACTCCACAGTCATATCAACGAGTCATCCATCTACCATCCTGAATTCATGTAAAGAATCTCGACTTTTGAATAATTCTTGGGCATCTTTAAGATTTCCTACAAAACACCATTTCCACAGAATGACCTTTCCTGACCCAAAAATCAAAATTAATATTACATTTTGTGTTAATTTTTTCCAATTTTTATTTGTATGAGTATTATCTATTTCTTTCACATTATTTTGCTTACTAAATTGGATACTCATGAAGAGAATTCTAACATAGGCTTTTTAATACTTTACATTGCCATATTCAGTTATTGCTTTGCCCTTAGATGGTGCTCAGTTATATTTATTAAAAGAAATTATTCAAACAAAAAATTCTTTCCAAATATTTCAAACAAATTCACTCAACCACAATTACACATTGATATAATCTCTTGAGTATTATGCCACAATATCACTGCCTATGATTTCAAATTCTTTCTCTAATTATAAAACTCTGGTCAGAATAATCTGTTTAAAATGTAAACCTAATCAGCGCACCTTTCTTTTTAAATGCCTCTATTCTGTCTTCAGAAGGTACTCCTTTTTAAAAAGAGAAACCATAGATCTCACTGTATTCCTGTTATCCTACCATAATTATCAATACTACCCTTTTCATTACCAAAGATGTTCCAGTTCGGAGGGAAAGTTATTTGATCCTCCCAGTTACAGAGCATCTATTTTATGTCAAGTTGTGTAATAAAACCTATGATTTAGAATTTAACTTAACAGTAACTGCCCCTGTTGATTTGAACGTGGGTGAGAGGAAAGATTTAATAGACCGATTAATGTCTAATGTAGTGTTAGATATAAGTAATGTGAGAAAAAGTAAGTTCAACACAGAGAGAGAGACAGAGGTAGGGATGGAGGATCAGAGGTTAGGGGGGATAAAGACAGAGAAAATAAGTACAATTATTGATGATAAAGAAATTAGGAAAGAGGTAACTGATGACAAAATTTGAATACAGAACTGAATTTTTGTTTTAAAAAACAACCAAGCAAATTGTGGGTAAAATATTTTCCAGAGAGGGGAACAATTTAAACAGTGCAGGGTCATATACTATTTCCAATTTCTAGTGATAATGTTGGTTAAAAAAAAAACAAAAAACAAAAAAAAAAACAAAGACAAAACAAAAACGTCAGGACTATTATCCCAAGAAAGCATATACCAAAAAGTACAATACGCTGAACATTACTTAACAAAGTAACACTTAAGAAATGACTTCCTTGTTCTTTTCCTTTCACTTTTTTTAAAAATAAAATTATTGGGGTGTCATTGGTTAATAAAATCAAATAGGTTTCAAGTATACAATTCGATACCTTGTTTTAAGAGCCGTTGTCTGCTAATTTAAAGAGGTTAGACATAAGGGAAAATGTATACAAATAGACCCTATTGCTGTTAATATGAATGCTGCACTCACCAGAAAAGGCCCGTTAGTAATGCAGGTGGATGCAGGTTCCCCCATGGCTGCAGAGTTGTCCTGCTGACCCCACTCCTGAGATGCAGACAGCCTGCTGCTTGAAGGAAAATGCAGTGACTTCTGCCTCTGATTCCCCTTTTATGGAGGAACGGAGTGGATAATCCAATCAGTAGATAATTCAGAGGAGACGCCCTCTCATATCAATGGGATCTGACAGATTCCCAAGTCTTTACACAGAAACTCAAAAATTTGGGGCCATTGACATTGTCTAATACTGTTGTAGATTTTTAAAATTAATACATTTGTGGCTGAGGGTGGTATTTGTAGTTTCGCTCACATTTTAATGTTATTTTTTTTCTCCCATTGTTGTATTCTATAAAAATAGGAATGCAAGTTTCTATGCATGAAAATTTTCATACAATTTGTTTTAATAGGAAAAAATTAGAGACCATTTAAATGTTTGTCAATAAAAGAATGTACAAAATATTTATTAACAATTCTGTGGAATATACCACAGTCATTAAAATAAATTAATACTTTGTATATTTACATTTCACCCAGTTACCAATAAATTTTAGATTATTTCAACCATTTTACTTTCCCTTCCCTTTGACCTTACCAGTTAAGTCCCTTTACTCTCTATTTCAAACTTCGATTTAAATATTTTATTATTCCATTCTTCCCTCAATAAACTTGTTAATTGTAATTATGTGCAAATCTTTGTGCGAATACACTGATAATTACATCATGAGTCCTTTATTTAACATAGTCTAATACAAGTAATTACTTTTACTACCTCCCCCAAATGCTAATACTTTAGAATGCTTTCAGTTCTATTTTTAACCTTCCTGATTTTGCATTGTGGTTGTCATGCATTTTAATTCTACGTGTATTTTAATCTTCATGAGATTTCAAGAATTGCTTCATAAAACAAAATTCATTTATATGTATCTATAAATTATGTTTTCCTTCTCTCTTCATTCTTTCCTGCATTCCTGGTTTTCATCCTGGCAATATTTTCCTTTGGACTCAATGACTCACTCGTATTTTTTTCTAGTTCAAGTCAGCTAACAATTAAATGTTCTACTTTAAGTTTTTTTAAAGACAGCTTTATTTGGGGCATTATTGCTGTTGAGTATAGAATTCCTGTTTAACGTGAGGCTTCCTTACCAATTCTTTTTATCTTTTATCTACTTTCCTTTTTATTAAGTTTATTACGGTGATGTTGTTTAATATAACCATATAGGCTTCAAGTGTACCATTCAATATTATGTCATTTGTATAATACATTGTGTGTTCTCCACTCAAAGTTATTTACCTGCCATCACCACATATTTGATCCCCTTTACCCTGTCTACCTCCTCCCCTCTCCTTTCTCCCTTCCCCCTTACCCTCTGGTAACCACTAGTCTATAGTCCATGTCCATGAGTCTCTGTTTCTTTGTCCTGTTCGTTTGTTGCTTTTAGGTTTATATCCCACATATAAGTGATATCATGTGGTTTTCAACTTTTTCTATTTGGCTTATTTCGCTTAGCATGATTATCTCGAGGTCCATCCATGTTGTCACAAATGGCAGTATTTCTCTCTTCTTATGGCTGAATAATATTCCATTGTATATATGTACCACAGCTTCTTTATCCAATCATCTATCATAGGACACTTCGGTTGTTTCCATGTCCTGGCCACTGTGAATAATGCTGCTATGAACATCAGTGTGCAAATATGTTTTTGGATATGGGTTTTCAAGTTTTTAGGGTAAATACCCTGTAGAGGGATTGCTGGATCACATAGTAGATCAATTCTTAGTTTTTTGAGGAACCTCCATACTGTTTTCCAATCATTGTGGTTTAAATTCACATTTCTCTAGTAGCTCCTTAAGTTGAGCATCTTTTCATACGTCTGTTGGCTGTTTGTGTCTTCTTAGAGAGTTATCTTTTCAAGTCTTCTGCCCATTTTTTAGTTAGATTTTTTGTTTTTGTTGTTGTTGTTGAGTCGTATAAGTTCTTTGTATATTTTGGATATTAGCTTCTTTTTGGAGACATTGTTTGCAAATATCTTCTCCCATTCAGTTGGCTGCTTCTTTGTTTTGCTGATGGTTTCTTTTGCGCTGCAGAAGGATTTCATTTCATATAGTTCCATTCATTTACTTTTGCTTTTACTTCCCTTGCCTTTCAGGTCAAATTCATAAAATCCTCTTTACATGAATTTAGTACCTATGTTTTCTTCCATGCAACTTCTCGTTTCAAGTCTTATATTTAGGTCTATGATGTATTTTGAGTTAATTTTGTTGTATGGTGACAGTTAGCAGTCTAGTTTTATTCTTTTGCATGTGGCTTTCTAATTATCTCAACACCATTTTTTGAAGAGGCTTTCTTTTCTCCACCGTATGGTTTTGGCTCCTTTGTTGAAAATTATTTGCCCATATATTTGGTTTATTTCTGGACTCTCAATTCTGTTTCATTGGCCTGTCAGTCTGTTTTTCTGCCAATACCATGCTGTTTTGATTACTGTTGCTTTGTAGCATAATTTGAAGTCAGGCAGAGTGATACGTCTGGCCTTGTTCTTTTTCCTCAGGATTGCTTTGGCTATTCGGGGTCTTTTGTGATTCAATACAAATCTGATGATTTCTTGTCCTATTTCTCTAAAAAAAATGCCATTCAGATTTTGATGAGGATTGCATTAAATCTGAATAGTGCTTTAGGTAATAAGGTCATTTTATCAACTATGTTGATTCTTCCATCCATGAACATGGAATAGCTTTCCATTTCTTTTTGTGTCTTCAATTTCTTTTATTAAAACTATAATATCTTATAGTTTTCAGTGTATTGGTCCTTCATATGCTTCATTAAGTTTATTTGTAGGCATTTTATTTTGTAGTTGTTGCAATTGCAAAATAAATTTTTAAAAATTTATTTTTCTGAAAATTTATTGTTAGTGTGTAGGAATACTATGATTTTTGTATATTGATTTTGTATCCTGACACTTTACTGTATTTGTTTATTGATTCTAATAGGGTTGTTGTTGTTATTGTTGTTGTTTTTGGTGGCATGTTTAGGGGTTTTTTATATAGAGAATCATGTCATCTGCAAAGAATGATAATTTGACTTTTTCATTCCCAATTTGGATGTCTTTTATTTCTATCGCCTAATTGATTGCTTTAGCTAAGATTTTCAACACTATATTGAATAAGAATGGTGATAGGGGACAATGTCGTTTTGTTCCTTAGAGAAAAGGTTCTTAGTTTTTCACCATTAAGTATGATATTACCTGGGGGTTTGTCATATATGGCCTTTATATGTTGAGGTACTTTTCTTCTATACCCATTTTCTTAAGTGCTTTAATCATAATTGCGTGCTCTATTTTGTCAAATGTTTTTTTCTACATCTATTGATATGATCGTATGATTTTTATCCTTTATTTTGTTTATGTGGTGTATAATATTAATCATACATTGACCCATCTTTATGCCCCTGAATTCAAGCCCACTTGATCATGATGTATAATATTTTTAATGTATTGTTGTACTTGATTTGCTAGTATTTTGTTTAGGATTTTTGCATCTGTATTCATCAGAGATATTGGTTTTCTTTTTTTGTATATGTTATCTTTACTAGATTTTAGTATCAAGGTAATGTTGGCCTCATAAAATAAATTAGGATGTACTGCCTCTTTTTCAATTTTTTGGAAGAATTTGAGAAGAATAGGTATTAAATCATCTTTGAATATTTGATAGAATTCACTATTGAAGCCATCTGGTCCTGGACTTTTATTTTTTGAGAGGTTTTTGATGGTTGTTTCAATTTTCATATTGTTATTGACCTATTTAGATTTTCCAGTTCTTTGGGATTCCATCTAGGAAGGTTGTATAGTTCTAAAAACTTGTCCATCTCTTCTAGGTTATTGAATTTGGTAGCACAGTATTCTTCTGTCATACTTTGTATTTCTGTGTCATCTGTCATATCTTCTCTTTCATTTCTGATTTTATTTGTGTCCTTTCTCAAAAGTGAGTCTAGCCAGAGGTTTGTCAATCTTATTGATCTTTCCAAAGAACCAGCTCTTTGTTGCATTAATTTTTCTATTGTCTTTTTGTTCTCAATTTCATTTAATTCTGCTCTAATTTTTATTATTTCTTTCCTTCTGCCAACTTTGGGCTTCGTTTGTTCTTTTTCTAGTTTTTTAAAATGTAAAGTTAGGTTGTTTATTTGGAATTTTTCTTGTTTCTTGAGATAAGCCTGTAATGATATGAACTTTTCTGTTACCGCGTTTGCTATATCCCAAATGTTTTGATACATTGTATTTTCATTCGTTTCTATATATCTCTTGATCTCTCTTTTATTTCTTCTTTGACACAGTTGTTCTTTAGTAGTATGTTGTTTAATCTCCACATGTTTGTGGTTTTTCCCACTTTCTTTTTGCAGTAGATCTCTAGTTTCAAAGCGTTGTGGTTGGAGAGTATACTTGGAATGATTTCAGTCTTAAATTTGTTGAGGCTAGTTTTGTGTCCCAACATACGGCCTCTCCTCGAGAATGTTCCATGTGCACTAGAGAAGAATGTATAATCTGGTGTTCTGGGATGAAAGGCTCTATACACGTCGATTATGTCGATTGGTCTAATATGTTATTTAAGGTTGATATTTCCTTATTGATTTTCTGTTTGGATGATATATCCATAGCTGACAGTGGGGTGTTTAAGTCCTCTACAATTGTGTTTTTGTCAGTTTCTCCCTTTACTTCTGTTAACAGTCGCTTTAAATATTTTCATGCTCCTTGTTTGGGAGCATTTGTATTGATGTGTTACGTATTCTTGATGTATTGTTTCCTTTATCATTATGAAGTGTCTATCTTTGTCTCTCATTACCTTTTATAACTTGAAGTCTATTTTATCAGATATAAGTATGGCTACAACCGCTTTTCACTGGATGTCATTTGCCTGGAGTATTATTTTCCACCCTTTCACTTGAGTCTATATTTGTCCTTGCATCTGAGATGTGTATCTCAGCATATAGTTGGGGTTTAGTTTTTGATATAGTCTGCTACTCTGCTTT